CATGTTCATTACCCCCTTAAATTTTAAATGCTGGGCATCAACTGGTTATTTTTAAATGCCCTACACAACTAAAACCTCAAATATGCTTTTTTTTTAAGTCGTTAATGAAATCCTGTCACAGCAACAAAAAAACCTAATTCGGAAATAGTCACGTGACTTATGACGTCATTACCTTGGATGTGACATGGGAATAAATTTCATGGCAAATGTTATCTTATTGTGGGCTGACAGTCTTCTACGTACAAAATTGTCAAAGTTATAAAGCTTTTTAAGAAATTGCCTCAGAGGATTCTGGGAGATTTTTTTGTGATAATCATAATTTTCTTTTATAATTATTATTTACGGAAAGAACCCTGAAAGAAAAATATATAAATGCATAGAAAGAAAATTCAAATTTGTTTTTCTACCGGAAACAGTGCTGTTTGATTTTGACATGTCTACCACGGGGAAGTTATTTTCTTGAGTTGGTTTCTTGAGTTGGTTTTCATCATGGAAACGAAATACCGTCAAATTCCGAAAATAAGCCCCTCCAAATATAAGCCCCCCAAACCCTCCGTTAAATCGCCCCTCCAAATATAAGCCGCCCGGGGGCTTGTACTTAAAAAACTGCCCTCAAATTACAAAGTAAAACAAAGCAAAAACGGTAAATTTACTTCCAACTATAAGGCTAGCCCAATCGATTTCGAAACGCAAATTTCCCTCCGTAGATAAGCCCCTCCGAATAAAAGCCCCTCAAAAAAGGTAAATCGTAACCTTCAAAACGCTAAGTGTCAAGCCGTTATTTTTCAAGCGAAAATGTTCAGTCTAATTTCTTGTAGTATTAATTAAGGAAACACTTCTTCATTGTAATCAACCGGAGCTCTATTAACAACTTAACTGTGAAATTGCAATTATCAAATATCTGTCCACAGAGTAATTTGAAAGAACTTTACCAGTTCAAAAGAGCCTTTTTTCATTGAACGTTTGCCAAAATGGATCAGGAAACAAAAGCTCGACGTTTGAAGATTTCTTGTTTCCTTATGGTCCATGCCGGATAACCATCCCAGCAACCACGAAAAACGAAATAAAATCGCTCGTGTGCGCAGAAATATATTTCGCTCAACATAATTATTTTCAGTAAAAAAAATAATAATAATAAATAAATAAACAAAAAATAAATTGATGAATTATCTAGGGATTATCAAGTCTTGAAGTTAAAAATAAAATATTGAGCCTTTAATTAATTTATCGTGAAATTTGTAGGCGTGTACCAAATTAGATACAAAAATGGTAAAGAAAGCTGATTTCATGTTTCCTTATGGTCCATGCCCGGCCGGATAACCATCCCAGCAACCACGAAAGACGAAATAAAATCGCCCATGTGTGCAGAAAGATATTTCGCTGAATATAACTATTTTCAGTAAAAAAAAAAGAATAAATGAATAAGCAAAAACAAAAATGGCGAAAAAGATCTTCAGATTTCAACATGAAATGGACATTATTTGTTAGTATTTGTCGGCCGTGAGTTCCGAATAAGAAGAAAAAAACTGTGCCCGAGTTTTTGAGTACGGTTAATAATAATCAGTTTATAACTCACTCGATTTTCCCATTTGAGCCCTATTCTGCATCTTAAATAAATGGTAGGATTTTTTTGGTTACGCTGCATTCGTAATTCCAAACCTTCCCATCCAAACTTGTCAGGAAGTTATTAGAGCTTTATCTTGCTTTTCCTATCTTTCGTCCCATAGAAAAAAAAAATCGAGACAACCATTTCGGTCTTCAAAACCATGTTTATTTCCTGCTTGAATTTTCACTTGTCATCTTAAAGGACACGATAATTATTCCTTTTTGTAAACCTCGGCCATGATAAAGATCAAATTAAACTTGAGGCACTAAAAAAAAGGGAAGATAGGAAGGCGTAAAGAGATGCTGCTAAATTGTCTGTTCCCTACGAGCAAACAAATGTCTTCGAAGTAGCAACATAAACCAAGAATAAAGCCTGGACCGACAGCGCTGTGTCTCGTTTTTATGACTATTTTATGGACCAAATTAAAAAAATTCAGTAGCAGCCGTGGAAGTTAATAAAGTAAACCTGTTAAACCTGTTTGTAAGCAATGATAAATAAGTATTTTAAAAGTGTCAGTTTTTTGTATTTCTTGCTGAAATCGGGCAAAAAATAATCACGATAAAGTCAGCTTTGCTGGAAATTACTATTTTCCTCCCTTTGAAATCTTTTTTTTTTTTAACTTATTTGTTTTGTTTTGTTTTTGTTAACGAATTTAAATTATTTCCTGCAACATTAGTACCTTTTTCTCGAGGGTCTCAAAGGGGTAGTGGCTTTTACGGTTATCGGCTAAAATTTTGGCTTTTTTACGGCAATCGGTTAATTTTTTTCAGTTACGGTTAACAAAAAAGTTAAAAATTAACTTCTTTTGTTTCAAAAAGTTAAATATTAATTAACCTGTATTTTTTGTATCTTTAAAGCAAAATAAAGGTCTTAGGATCATCTCGGGATGAAATAAGCTATTCTTTTGAAAAATTTTAACATTTGATAGATCATACTTTACAAAGTATTCCACTTCTAATACTATTTTACACATAGAAATGTCAATAGTCAATTTTAAAAAAAAAAGCAAAGCACACACGCGAACGCCCAACTCAAGACCGGGGCGCGACATTCATTACAACAGAAATGGCCGTTTTCACACCAGAGACGGATTATTCGCGTGAGATAGGTTATCCGTTTGATGATTCGCGCCAGATAGGTAATACCTCTTAATGTGAAAATGGAATAGTTTTAATTTTGAATGAACAATCCGCCTGACTTTATCGGCCAATTTCGACGGACAGTTTGAAGACGGGATTATCCGTCACCGCAGATAGCCTGTGTACAGCCGCCTAGCTCTAGTGTGAAAACGGCCAATAACAAAATTCCCGTGTCCAGTGTTTTTAATGATAGCAAAGGACTGTACGGAACCACTGTCTGCCGTTGCCTTGTCCGTAGGCCTCATTGTTTCGCGCGTCTAATACGTTTCAGGTCACGTGGTCCCAGCGATTTCGCCACCGAAATGGCTTGACCGAGATTGCGTGGGAAGACGCCGTACAGGGACTAGGCCTGGCAATGTCTACCGTAGCGTCAGAGAAAAACAGGGACATGTTGTTTATCGGCAACGTGTTTTACAAACAGTGTCATCTCTGCGTGTTGTTTCACTAATGTTTCGAGGGCACGACCTCCTTAAAATCGCAAATATTAATCCCTAGCAAGAAGCCACACTTTCGCTCTGGAAACTACTCCTGATGACTTATCACGGGATTATCAAGTCTTTAAAAAAAAGTCTTTAAAAAAAGTCTTTAAAAACTCAATATATATTTAAAAATATATATTGAGTGTTTTTTAATTTCCATAGCAATTCCGACGTCACTAAAGACCATAGCGAATTTTAATCGTTATATAGTACAGTTGTTGTAATCTTTTTCCGATAACTTTGTTGATGCCGACGTAGTAAACGCTCAAAGTGGAGAAGTATACACCCTTAAAATAAATCCGGTCAAGCCACCTTAAGAAAAGAATTGGATCATTCATTGAAAATTCAGCCGGAGCTCTCTTGTAAACTTAACGGTAAAATTGATATTATCGAAAATCTCTCCACGGAGTAATCTAAAAGAAGAAATTTGTCACAGAGGCCTTAATACATCGACCTTTTCTCCAAGAAATAGAATGGCACAAAAGGGAAATGTAAATGATTATGATTGCGATTATGATTATTATGCAAGATAGCGCAATTATGCATGTGGAATTATGTGGATAGGCAACAGAAGTTTAAAACATACGGTCATTATATTAACCACTTTGAAATGATATGGTGTCGAGGGGTTAAGTCGACACAAACTCACTCGTTTAAAGAAAGATATTTAGGTAAATTTAAATTCACCAAAAACAAAACAGATGCTTAATTTGAGGGACGTGGATATATCTACATATTAGGTTTATCGTCGGCCAAGAGGTCCATACTCCCGATCTTGATTATATGAAGGAGAAAATAACTCGGTAGAGACGAAACAAAATCGGTCGTGTGCGCAGAAAGATATTTAGCTAAATTTAAAAAAAAGGATGCTTTGGAAATGGGCATAGGTATTTGTTAGAATTTGACACCCGGGAGACCCATATCGGAAAAAAAAAAACTGAGTATTTGATTTTCCCTCACTTTTGCCCACACTCTCTCTTGTAAAAATGACGAATTCAGGACTTTTGTCGCTATATTATGCTGCATTCGCTGTTTCCAATCCTTCCTATTTATACTTTTCAGGAAGATATTACAGTCTTATCTTGCTGTTACTTTCTTTCGTCGCATAAAAAAATAAATAAAATAAATAAAAAAATTCGAGAAAACCGTTGCGGTCCTCAAAACAACTAATTTTGCTAGCTCTGTTCGTTTCCGTGTTTATTTCCTGCTAAAATTTTCCCTTGTTCATCTAATGAGGCACGATAATTATCTCTTCTTATGAAGCCCAGTTATGGGAAAGATTAATACTAAGGCTTTGAGAAAAGGAAAAAGAAAAAAGAAGAAAACAGATGCTGTTCGATTTTGTTTGTTCCCATGAACATACACTGACTTCCTCGCAAACTAGCAAATTAAACAGTATTTGAATGAACGCTAGACCGACAGAGTAGAAAAACCAAAGACTATAATGTAAGAAGTAAAGAAGTAACGAAATAGTTATTATATGTTAATTTCCCGTATTTGTGCAGAAATAGAGCAGTTTATCCCAGAAAGTCCTATTTGCAAGGCAATTACTGCAATTTTTTCATGCTTTCAGATTGTTTTTAAGTTATTCGTTTGTTTTTTTTTTGTTTAAAAACTAATTATATGTTATTTCCTGCCACATTAGCAAATTTCCTCCAAAACTGTATTTCTGTCACACTTTTTTCCATAATATAATATTCTCTCCATATCTTTTCGTCAGACTCAACGGGATAGCGTGCAAACAGGTCTTGGAAGTTTTAAACCCTAAAATTAAGAATGGTGTTTCCTCAAGTCACTGCAGTGTTTCATGCACTTTTCGACGCCATTGGTCTTTCGGGTAATTTGCTGGTGATTTTGACAATATTCCTGGAAAGACGATTGCATAAGATGCGATATTTCCTTCTTTCCAGTCTTGCTGTGTCAGACTTTCTCTGTTTAATCCTGGTTAACTCGTTTCGTATTGGAAGCATAGCGGAAGAAACATGGCTATACGGCCAAACGATGTGTCATCTAAATTCGTGCTTTCACCGATACTTTTACGTTAACACGACTCTTCATTTGCTAGCGGTGTCTTATGATCGATACAAGGCGATCGTTAAATCCCCGTTAACGTACGATGGCACTGTGACTTCTCTCAAGATGTTGTTAGTACTCCTCATATGGCTTATCCCAATTCCACTGTCCATAGGACCATTCCTTGGGTATGGCATGTTCGTATACAACCCAGAGGTGTATTTCTGTGAAAATGAATGGCTTCTAAGGAGCGACGTCCCAGAAACCAGAAAAGTGTTTTTTACCGTCGTCACCCTCCTTGGGCCATTTGTGATAATCCTGTTCCTCAACTGGTCGGTTTACAAAACAGCGAAAAGGCAGATAAACGCCCTGGCGCACGAAGCCCAACTGGGAAGTCTCGATAATTCTGCCCAAAACATTCAACAAGAGCTTACAAGGAGAAAGAAAGAACGGAAGGCATCCTTTGATGTTTTCATTATTATCGTTGCGTTTTTAATCTGTTTTCTTCCCCTGTGGGTTGTAAGTTTTTGTCGCCAATATGCGACACGTATCAAAGTTTCATCTCAGGTGGTGCTGCTATCAAACGCCCTTTTCTTTGTCAGCTCACTTTGTAACCCTATCATCTATTCCATTCGAAAAAAAGAATTTCGAGACGCGGTGAAGAAAATGTTTAGTAGAATGGGGCTTTTTGTGAGACCTAACGAAAACGATGTCTTTGCGATTGGCATGAACAATTTGATGATCGGCGCCAGAACCGACGGTTGGTCAACATGCCGCACTTCGATGTCAACCTCACCAGAACTCGTCCTTCATGAAAACACTGGCTCAACAACAGCAAACTTTCAACCAAGTCTCTATTCAATCCAGGAGATTGATGGATGTTAACTAACCATGGCTAATTTGTGGTTAAACAATCAACACAGACTGAAGAAAAAGAAAAACCCTGGTTGCCCTGTATTTTGTTAAACCCATTATCTACACAGAAAATGAATTTACTATTAAATAAATCACATTAGTAGTGAGATATATCTCAGATTTGATCATTTTATAGCTTGCAGGACGCTAAAATGTTTTTGTTAATAAATAAAAAAATAAATAATGATTTAGAGGCAGCACATCCACCAAGCGGTTCTTCGTTTACCTATTTCCCGTTCGAATTGGAATTTGGAAATGTTTTTTCGAGGTAAACCCGGGTACCCTGAGAATATCTCTCGGAGCAAAGGAGAGAACCAGCAACAAACTCTACCCACATATGGCGTCGACGCCGGGATTTGAACCCGGGCCACATTTGTCAGAGGCGAGTGCTCTCACCACTGCGCCTTCCTTGCATCCCACTTGACAGGGTTACGTTTCAACAGAGCATATTGTCGTTACGGTAACATGGAATGTCTCAAAAATGATCATAGCTTGTTTTAAGAATTGCTGGTTTTAAACCGAGAGATTATCAACCTAAGACCCACATATTCAGAAAGAGCATTCCAAGCTTACCCCCATTGTTTGTGGCGATGGGGTGTGAGGGGCAAGATACAGCCGTTTAAAAATTTTAAAATTTTTTGAGAAATATAAACGAAGAAGATGGCGACATATGCTTCTTCGACCAACAATAACAGAATTACAATCGTAAGTTGTCAAACGAAAATAATGGGCAATCTTTGTGCTCGTGGTCAGTTCATGTTACCTCTCACGAATTCCCTCATGAACCTCTCGTCGATTGTTGTACATTTACTTTATTTGTGTGTGGAAACCAAACTAAATGAGAATAGTCTACAAAGTAACTACTTTTCACACTTATCTTTGAATTAAATTATATGTAAGAAGTTTGAAAGCTTACGACAAATTTAACCCTGTCAAGTTTTTCAGACCCAAAAAAAATGCTCAATTGCCTAATTTGCAAACGAGGGAAATTGTCAGATAAAGCGCACTAAGCTTGACAAAATCCTTAGAACAGATTGTTTATCGGACCAATGTTGAACTAGATGCAGCCATTCGTTTCAATATCTCCAAACTTTACTTGAAAACATTAAGCCGCACAAGTGCCCGGCAATCCAAACATAATAATAGTTGAAAGGTTTTGTGGAAAAGTGAATTTAACATTAGTAATCTGTTCAATAAGATAACATGTGTTATCTACCTTCCTTTTCCCACTGATTTTTTATTCGCACTCAAATTATAGCCAATCAGATAGCTCTTTCATAGTTGACGAGAAACGCGTCCACGCGCAGCCCTCATTGATAAAATTAAGTCCCAGACAGCGAAAAGTCGTTATAATCATTCCTTAAAATGCACTAAAATTTATAATCCTAGTCCTCTTTTGTCTATACCGTTTATTCTTGTGGAAGGCACCTGTTACTTATTCTAATTTAAGGGTAGGGCCGAGTATCTGGAGGCTCGAATTACCGATTTCCAAGAGCGGGAGTTTCTGGCGTTTCCGGGAGCGTGTTTCCAAGAAACATTTTAAAATTTTGTTTTATTTTATTTTTCATGGTTTATTTAACATTCTGCATGGAAGGAAAAATCAACATCCTTCAACCGCTGAAAGTCGAGCTGATTTTTTAGTTTCTTGCGTAAGTCTTACCACGTTTCCGTGGTAACTGCAAGTTTCAGACGTTAGCAGTCTCAGCTTGGAAATGTCAGTAATCATTTAAATTTCTGAGAATTGGTCTTTTTGTCACTAAAATTACATGACATTACATTTTTGTTTGTTTTGTTTTATTTTTTATTTTACTAACTAATAACAAACGACGAGTGTCAATTTTATCTTGACGCCTTCCCACACCCTACAACAGACGAATAAACTTATTATCATCAACAACCCAACACCTTTACTTCAATTTGTTCAAAGATGTTCTTCTGGCTCATACAACTTTCTTTCTTGACTAATAAGTGTCCTTTTTAATTAACCGAGTCCATTCCATAGGGGTGTTTCATTTTCGATGAGATAACGAAGATAAATGGAGAGAAGAGCGGTCCCAACTCCTGTAATGTGTGATTCGCACCCATCTGCCAAAACACAAACAAAAAGCTAAGGCCAAGTTCAAACGTCGACCTTTTCATGAGACTAACCAAACTCTAATTTGAGTCCAGCTGTGGGTCGTCCTAAACTAAGTTAAGATCGTCTGTTGGGTCAGACGTCGAACTTAGGACACGTCGAGCCAATCAACTGAATCGTAACAAAAAGCAATTCCAATAAATGTTCTCTCGAAAAAGGCTAAATATACATTATCGTACAATTTTTGTAAATTTATTAGTTTAGTTTGTCGCATGTGAAGATCAACGTTTGTCCCGGAGACAAGCTTCAGGCGTTCTATCAGCCTGAAGCAGAGGGATAGAACGTGTTGGACGATCCAAACTCAGTCCGACGAACTCAACCGAGTCACTGACGTCGAACTTTTCACGAAGTTAACTCACTAAGTTTGGTTCGTCTCATGAAAAGTTCGAGGTTTGGCCTAGACCTAATAAGTGACCTACGGTGTTTGCAAAAAAACCAGAATTGACTTTCAAGGCTTTTTGGTTTGCTTTACTCTTTCTTAAGGGTGAAAAGGGTTCCCTAACGAAACATTGTTTTTATCATTTTCATTTACTTTAACACAATTTTCAGGATTGATAATTAGGGTTGCTTAATTTGGATTTAATTTCGAATGTTGTCGATATTTTGGCCTCCAGTTGGGTAAAATGGTTTCATTCTTCAATCTTGTTAAAATGTCTATTGGCGACCATTGAAGTGACTGCTATGGACAGAGTGTTTTGAAAAAAAAAAAATGATCTACTGCCTAAATATATTTGATAGGTGGGGTGCAAGATATGGCATTCTTGAAGCGTCTCATTTGCTAACTCAATATTTTATCATCCGGTTTCTACTGGGGAAAAAAACAGATATGTGGAGTCTTTTTCTGCCAAAGTCCTTGCGGTTCGTGTGAAACTTTTCTCGTAAATAATGTAACTATGGATTAATATATTTTTTTCCTTCCGCTGAGTTGCAAAAACATTTTCATGTGAGACGAAAAACAGTGCTAGGTATTTATTCCACTTGTGAAGTACAATCCTTGACAAAACGTTTGGGACACTTTGCCCAAATTATGGGCCACATCTTTGTTCTGGAAGAGGGGAGAAACCTTGTTAAGGCCGTGTTTATGATCGGTATTTCCAGTAGCCTGCGAGCAAGCATCCATTTAGGGGAATCGAAAGAGGTCACGCGAGAGCAACACGCGAAAGGAGCTGCGAATGCGAGGGGCTTTGCTGCTCGCTCGCGCGTTCACTCGCGGTGGCTATATTGCCGGTTAGCTGCAAATTCCATACAAAGCACGCAAAAAAGAGACTGCGTCCCAAAACCTTTTGGCCAGGATTGTAAGTGCTTATTGGCGCGATTCAAAAAAAAGAAAAAGCTTACCCGACAATTCTTTCTCCATGAGAATTTTTCTCATGGTCTGCTTGCTGTGATTGCCATTTGAATTTTCCTCTTCTTCAATGTCACCATAACAACCACTCGCTCGCTGCCACTTAATCAAATTTTCCATCCGTGTTGGCGACAAAAACTCGTAATATCCTAGTAATCCACACACTACACTCTGTTCCATCATAAGATCAGCGTCTATTCTTTTGATCTTGGCGATTCCCTCCATCATTAGCAGTTGATTGTAGATGTTTGAGCAGATTTTGTCGTACACAGATTCCAACGAGCTGTTGGACGCCTTTATCTTCTTTGAAAAGATACTGAAGCAACCTGTCAACCAGTCAATCACTCAATCACGCGATGAACTTTTAATCAATCAATATTTACACAGAAAGTAAATGTGATCGGCTGGAACTGGCCTATCTATTCACATTTTACAATTTTCACAACACTGAGACGCACAAAAGTTGTCAAAAACCGCGACGCCCCTCCGATAAAACTTTCCTACTAAATTTCATCCCTTTTTGTCAACTATTATGGCCATCTCTTTATTACCGTATTAAGCACTTTTAAAAAGTGTAAAACATTTTGAAAGAACGCTCATTCTGCGTTGCTAACATTTGTACAAAATACAGCTGCCTCTGTTTAGCGCATACTTATATTTGTTTATTATTATTATTATTATTATTATTATTATTATTATTATTA